GGGGGCACGAGCCCACCCCTCCTGAGCAGCCCCACCCCCACAGTCCCCCTACCATCTATCCACACCTAGCCACACACCCCACAGCCCCCAACAGCCACCCCATCTCCCCCAGCACACACCCTGCGTGCCCAGCTGCCAGACAGGATGAGACCTGCTGGCAGGAGCTGCAACTGCAGGGGCAGCTGTCTCCACAAACTGGTGAGTGAAGGGGTCAGGGGGAGCTCTCACTGCTCTAGGATAAGAAAACCAAGGGCAAACAGCAAAACATATAGGTATTTAGAACTCATTTTATTATGATGATAGAGACATTGGTAGGCTTCCCAATTGCTTTAACATTGTAGATATAGCAATAAAACATTGCCCATATGATTGCTCTCTCTCTGTCTTTCTTTCTCTCTCTCTCTCTATACAGTGGTCTTTTGTTTTAATTCTGAGAGAACATGGATTTTGGGGTATTTTACAGAATGACTTTGGGACTTTTATCTGGGATTTTTCAGTTTTTAAACAGGGAACACCAGAATTCCTGTTAGTGAGGCAAGTGGCAGTACCCAGGCAGAGGAGCCTGCTCAGAGCTGGCATCTGGGACCCAGCTGGAGGTGGCTGATCTCCTGGCCCCAAGTGACAATTCAAAGGAGGCCACCACACTGAGAACATCTTCTGAACAACAGCTGCCCAGATGGCCAGGCAGGGGCACACATGGTAGTAGTGCCGCACAAAGGCCAACTCCGCAGCCACAGCCCACTTGCAACTGGGCCAGAGGGGCAGATACCTCTAATGGCCGTGCAGTCCCCATCCGGGTCTGGCAGGTGTGCAGACTTGGGGCCACATGCTCTCACAGGTGGCAGCAGGTCACAGTCAGGCAACAGCCCCCACTGCCAGACTCCTGCAGTGGGTAGAGGTTGCAGGAAACTCTCAAGGCTGCTTCAGCAGTCCAGCTGGCACAAGGGGTAGTGTCCCTAGGTACCAGTTGGCTGGGCCCCAGAAGCTCCTGAGAGCAAGTGGCCCTGAGCTACTTGCCAGGGCAGCTTTTTGTACTGCTGGGGCCAGCACAGGGAAGCTTTTTATACTGTTGGCTGGCCCCAGCCTCTAGCTCCCCCTGACTGCAGGTCCGGGAAAAGCCAGGCAGGGTTATTTTGACCCAAGTGGCACAATTTGCCCCACACCAAAGTACATGTCTGGGCATGTGCAGTGAGGCAAAAAGCCCTAGGTCAAATTTGCACTGCTTCTATCTGAGCTGCTACAAGCGCATGTGCCTGCTTGTGTGGACATGCACTGTGAGTCCAAGTTATTCCAATTAAGGTTCTAGAAAATATCTAATAACCCTATTCCACCCAGGTCTACTCAAAATACAGATGACACAATCAACATTTTTTTGTCCACTATAACTGGCTCCAGAAACGTTTACTTCATTAGATAACCTGTGAGGAATGTACATGTTTTGCTAATGGATCTTGGGGTTTATTTTCTCATCCTCTTTACAATTTGAAATCCTAACTGCAGCAGACAGTGGTTACAAACTTCAACAATGGCTTATAGATACAATTTAGAGAGAAGAAAGACTTAAGAAGAACACACAGTTTATGGCCTTACAAACAAGAAGGATAGTTGTGCAGTCAACGAACAATGGAGAAAAGAAAGAATGGAAGATAAAGAATTCAGTTGGTGCCATGGTAAACCTAAGCTTCTGGTGAGATATCCAGAAAATATCTCAATACTCCTGTTTTCCCTAGGTCTACTCAAAATACAGAAACTGAGACCATAGATCTTGCTGTCATAAACACATCACCCCTCACCATGTAAAATGAAAAAGGAACTTTAAGTGGTAGGCTAAGATATGCACCTATGTGTTTAACTTAAGACTTCTAAATATAAAATGTCTATAGATTCATGACATGGAATAACGAAACTATATTATTACATTTCAAACTAGAATCACAAACAAGATAATGGGTTTGTCCTACAAGGACCAGGGCACTCAACCTGTAATTAAGTTAGGAGAAGTTATGGGCACATTCAGAACCTGCTTGCAAAATCAGACCAAATATGTAAAGGCTAGTTCCTCCTTTTGCAGAAGACAGTTTAATTCTGGAAAACAAAGTAACACTTTGTCAGAAATGCATGCTACCCCATTAATTGGAAAGAGGTGATCTGAAGAAGTTTGGATATCAATAGTACATAGGAAAAAAATACTCATACCTGATCAAATCTAGCACATATACAAATATTAGTCTAAATTCTTCTGAAGAGAATATTATAAAATTAAAATTAAAAGAAAGTTGTATGGATACATAGTTGCAGCCCAGCTGTACCCTAAATATGCATAAACAACTGATGCTGGGGGGCAAGTGGGTGGTGAAAAGTGACTTGCCAAGGTAATAGGTGCTCTGGGGAAAAGACAGAGCAAAGCCTCACACTGCTGTTAACACAAATTGGTAAGTATCTATTTATTTAGATTATTTTTAATGCGTCTCCCACTTAGAAAAGTCATGCATGCAAATGCATACATACTTTCACATTGGTTGAGCAGCCACAATGGGCACCTATACACGTGCAGGGAGGCTGCTCTGACGTGCTGTAATTATAGCGCATTGGGGCAGACTCAATCGAGTCTGCTGGAGAGTGGTAACTACCATGCTCCAACAGACTCCAACATCACATATATCAGTGCTCCTGCACTGAAAAATGATGGTGGGGGCACTTTAACTATAGCTTGTTCGACAAGCTTTAGTTAAAGCGCCCCGCTGCCATTTTTCAGTGTGGGGATGCTGATACATGTGGCTCTCTGGGCACTTTAATTATAGCGGCTCTCAGAGCCACTCTAATTAAAGCGCCACCTGCCCCTGCCCCCGGAAACACAGACATACTCCCAGAACATGTCTATAAATGCCCAATAATGACCCTTCACATCTCACTGACCCAAAACAATAGCCCTCCCCTCAATTTGCCCTGATTAAGACATCCTGAAAACAGAGATAAAATATGCCTGACACAACCTTGAACTATTGAATCAAAGTAGGGAGGAAGTTCCTAGCCTAGGACTCTTTCCTGAAAATTTCCTTTCAGCCCCCTCAACTTTAAATCTGGGAGCTATTAGCTTGGGTACCTCAGCTGAGCGCAACCACAGCAGTCCCACACAAGGAGAAAAGTGGTCTCTGAAGAATGCACCTGTAACAACACACCACGGCATGACAACATACAAGGATGCAGTAGCCTACAGAGCATTCTTTAGAGGGAAATTGACATGGCTAGGTCTTAATCCCCCAAAATGTATGCCATCACCTGGGCAGCTAGTATTAGATCATGTGCACATACTGATCCTGCTCAGAGGAAAAGCATCACAGAGCCAGATATGAATTGCAGCAGCTTACCCTTAAGCTGTTTCACACAGCCACCCCACAATGACTTGTATCAAAGTTATAAGTTAATGTCACTATCCCCACTGAACAGCCTTTTATCAGTGCAGGTTTAGGTTTTTTTTTTAAACAAAGAAACTCTATAAAATCTCTAGGAAGGAAATGTCCCAATGAAAATCTCTATGAAAATAATCTTCATTTTGAAATGCTTCTAGGCTTTAGGAAATCCATAATAGTTACACTGGACTATAAAACAGACTGTGCTTAGAGAGGAAGAGAACTGGCTAAGGCTCCAACTTGAGATTATGGCATCAAAGCAGCCACAAAGCTTGGAAATTCTTAGCCTTTTAGAAACTTAGGTATTCCACGTATAATATCAACAATACAATCATGTTATAGATGGAACAGCATATACTAAGGTAAGCATCTATTTGGAGACAACTGCCAATTTGAAGAGCTGGAGGCTCTTTGGTCATTGGCTGGGTACCCCACTCTGCACCTGAGGCATGCAGTTATACCTCCACAAACCCATAGCCTATAGTAAATGATCCTTTACGTGGGAAAGCTTCAGAGAACTGGTGAATAGAGAATATACCGTGGCAATGATTTAGGATGTGGTAAAAAGCACACTGCCGGTGCCATTATTGTACCTCCATCTTAAAGATGGGGCACTTGCCATCTTATTGGCAAGTGGCAGGCATCTTACTGTATATCCCACCTTTGCCTACGAAAGAGAGCTATGCTTTAAAAAAAGGAAACATTAAACATGCATCAAGCTCTATGACTCTAATAAGATTCTAATAATTAGGTACATACTCACATGGGGAATTGTCCACAAACATTGGATCTATATTATGAAGCAGCTCCAGCCTGGGGGAAGGGTTTCCTTCACTAGAAGAGAGTTCATTAGGAAATATTAATTTACTTCTAGAGCTTACTAGAAATCTCTGTGTGCTATTTTAATACTTCCTTCTGTTTTATTTGTAGGAAACAATGGTGTCCCTGAACTATTTATTGTGAACTTTTAATTGGAAGTTCTCTTACTCATCCAGTAGTAACAATGTCTGAACCCAGTCCTGCAATCCTGTAAGTTCTGTGCCAATGGAGTTAACACTAGGGCTGTGCGACACTTCAGGTGGTGACTCGATTCAGAGATTCGGCCCAATTTGGTGACCGAATCTCCAGATCCAAATCAAAGCAGGGGACCAATTTAAAGGTCCAAATTGATTCAAGGCTCTCTGAATCTTCAGAAAAGATTCATAGATTTATAGATTCATAGATTGTAGAGTCTGAAGGGAACACAATGGATCATCGTGTCCGACCCCCTGCCCCTGGCAGAAAAGAGGACCGAGGTCAGATGACCCCAGCCAGGTGACTAGCTAGCCTGCTCCTGAAGACCTCCAAGCTCGGTGATAGCACCACCTCTCTTGGAAGCCCATTCCAGATCCTGGCCACCCTTACTGTGAAAAATTTCTTCCTAATATCTAACCTAAATCCACTCTCAACTAGTTTACACCCGTTATTCCTAGTCACTCCCTGGGGCGCCTTAGTAAACAGCGCTTCCCCTATTCCCCGTTGATCTCCCCTAATAAAATTTATAGGCGGCCACAAGATCTCCCCTCAGCCGTCTCTTGTGAAGGCTGAAGAGATTCAGCTCTCTCAACCTCCCCCAATAGGGTCTATCACGAAGGCCACTAATCATGCGAGTGGCCCTCCTCTGGACTCTTTCCAGATTCCCCGCATCCCTCTTGAAGTACGGTGCCCAAAACTCGACACAGTACTCCAGCTGCAGCCTGACCAGTGCTGCATAGAGGGGGAGCATCACCTCCTTTGTTCTATTAGTCATGCACCTGCTAATGCACGACAAGGTGCGATTGGCCTTGTTGATGGCCTC